GGGGCGGGGCGGGGCTAGGCTTGGGATCGGGTGGCAGGACTAGGAGGGGCCAGGCATAGGGCAGAGTAGGGTAAACTAGGGAGCGGGCAGGCGGCTGCTCCAGCGGGTCCTCCTCACCTGCGCACTCCCCATCCTTGAGGACGTAGCCTGGCTCGCAGGTGAGGGCTTTGTAGCAGCGGAAGGAGCCCAGCGTGTTCACGCAGTGCTCGCCCCGGCTGCACGTGTGCAGGTCCGTCACGCACTCGTTAATGTCTGCAAGGAGAACGGGGCTGACCGTCAAGGCCTGCAGGGTGCTCCTGGATGGACAGTGGCCGGGAGCAACCAGGGGGCCTTAGGCCATCAGGAAGGAGGGAGCGCTGGCCCTGCCCTCTAGGTACTCACCGTTGGGAGCCAAGTGCACAGCTGAGGTCCCCTGTCCATGCACCCCTCCATCCAACAAAGATTTAAGCAACCGCGAAATGCCAAGCACCCCTCTTGGCAAGAGGGGCGCACGCACCCGTGAACAAGACGCACACAAATGGCCGCGCTTGGGCCAGATATGCAGATACACAAGCACAGGACGGGGCGGCTGTCGGGAGTGCTGTGCTGACCAGCGCAGGGGGAGGACGCGGGAGAGCTGGGTCAGCAGGGGTGTGGTTTCCCCTGTGGGCAGGGTTCTCAGGAACAGCTCTGTGAGGACCTCTGGCAGGTTGCTGGGCATGGTGGCACATGCCTGTCATTGCTGCACTGAGGGAGGCTGAGGCAGGAAGATCACAAGTTCAGAGTTCTGCCTGGGCAATTTAGTGAGCTCGTGTTTCAAAATAAAAAATAAAAGGACCGGGGATGTAGCTCAGAGGTTGAGCGCTCCTACACAAAGATAATAATCCAGGCAGACGATGAGGTGGGGGAAGCCGTCTGGTTCTAGAGATATGGAGAAGGCAGAGGACCCTGAGACCCACCATGAATGAGATGAAGGGGGTGACAGGAGCCAAGAGACAGCGCAGCCCCTCTCTCCAGGCTCACAGGGGCAGGCGGTGCTGTTCTACTGGACTGAAATCACAGGCAGCAACCAGAATGGAAGTTAGAGCACCCGGCCCCAGCTACACCCTGCCCCTAGTTCACGTCCTGTGCAGGGTGAGTGGTTCCCCGCACCTTCCCGCAGCCGGGCCCACCTGGAACACTTTTCCCAGGGACCAAGACAGTCCTTAAAGTGCAGAGCACAAAAAAGACAAATGGTAGAAGGACAGGGGAGTCCCTAGCAGAGGTCATACCCACTACTCTCCCTCTTTGGCTTACACACCTCCAGGTATGAGGAGCTCACTACCTGTGGAGATTGCCTCAGTGTGATATATTTGTAGAATAATGACCATGACAAAACACTAGCGAACTTGCTTACTTGGACTAGCTCCTTCCATTTCTACACCATCATCTCATTCACAGATGCACAAACCATCCCTTTTCTTTTTTCTCTTTTTTTTTTTCCTTAGATTTAGCTAAAGTGCTGAGTTGCCCAGGCTGGGTTTGAACTTGCAATCCTCCTGCCTCAGCTTCCTAGAGCGCTGGGATTACAGGCATACATCACTGTACCCAGCCTGTTTGACATCTTCTAAGCAGAAAGTGGCACAGGCAGGATTTGAACTCAGGCAGTCTGGCTTCAAGGCCACTTTCCTGTCACTGCCAGGCTAAGGAGCTGGGAGCCCCGGAGTTGTCTGCAGATGTGCACGGGGGGGGGCTGCGGGAACAGGGGCACCAACACTGTCCCTCGAGCACATGAGGGTGTGTGCGGGTTTGTGCAGGATGAGAAAGGACGGAGACAGGAGAGCATGCGCAATGATGCTGTGCTGACTGCAGGTGTCTTGTGGCTTGTGCACCCACTCTCCAGCTGTCGGGGACCCCCTTCACCTCACAGGTTCGTCTCCAGGCCACCAGGGAGCCTGCCTATGGGGCATGGGGAGAGGGGTGCACAAGCCCCAGCAGGGCCACCTTCCCAGACAGATCACAGACCCGCCCCAGACAGGAAGAGCTGCCACCCGCCGGCAGACAGGTCAAGAGGCATGCGCTGTGCCCAAGGCTGGATGCCTAGGGCAAGCATCTCTGCCGGGCCTCAGCCAGCACCTCGGGCCACCTGCCCACAGCGCAGGGCTGGACACAGCCCCCGGGCACAGAGAAGACAGCCGGGCTCTGGTCCCTGCCTCCTGCCTTTGTGCTTCCCGACCATCCTCAGAGACAGGTGCAAATTCCACCTCTCCAGAAAGGGCATGCAGGTGCCACCAGTGGGAAGATGCCTCCCTCTGCCTGTGTCCCGCACACTGCAACCTTGGATCTATCTGAGAACGGTGGAGGACAAGCGCTCATGTCCCCTCTGTGACAGCATCAGGTTGCCCAGAACCAGGAGGGCAGCAGGGCCTCCTCACTGCCCACAGAGAGGTCCTGGAGACCCAAGCCAAGGGCACAGAGATAGAGTGGAGAGTTGGGACCAGTGCTAACCCTGGCCAGGCACAGGCAGTGCAAGGACAGAGCTCTGCCCTGTCCCCATCCTCTGGCCCCTGTGGAGGCTCAGAGAGGAGCTTGGGGTCCCTCAGCAAACACCACCAAGCTGGGGGACAAAGCCAGGTGGATCAGCCGCGAGTTATCCATTTACCCTTGGAGAGATTCTAACTGCACCTAAGGACCGTGAGCAGCTGGGGACCATGCTGTCCACGAGCTGTGTGCTGTCCTGCACCCGGGACCCTCAGCCATCAGAGGGGACCAAGAGCCACCTCTTCGCAGAGGGGGACACTGCGGCTGGGAGAGGACAGGTCACAGAGCCGCCTGTCTGCAGACCCCATGCACCCCGTCCCGCTGCCCTGTCAGTGACCAGCCGAGGACACGTCCCTGAGCACTTTCAGACACACAGGCACGTCCCTGGGGAAAGCAGCCTCCCAGAGGACAAGCGGGACAAGACACCAGGACACGGGTGTGACACAGAGCATGGGGCCAGCTGTGTGAGGGCTCATATGCAAAGGACGAGCCTTTAGCATGTGGCCTTCGCGGCGGGCTGGGCGTGTCGCAGAGCGCAGAGCGTGACGCTGGCGGGCGCGGGTGGGGCCCTCGCTTACCCACGCACTTCCTGTGCGCGTTGAGGATATAGCCCTCAGCGCAGAGCACTGTGTGGTTGACACAGGAGAAGGATCCCAGGGTGTTCACACAGAACTGGCGCCGGCTACAATCGTGAGTGCCCAGCAGGCACTCGTCTTGGTCTAGTGGCAGCCGCGGAAGGAAAAACAGAGGGGCCGTTAGAGAGGCGGGGCCTGCGCTGGGGCAGCCAGTGACAGAGGGCCAGCCAAGACCCAAAAGCGGGCAGGAAGTGCCCAAGCCTGAGTTGGCAGAGCCCAAAGATGTCAAGAGCTGAGCCCCAGCAAGGACAGATGGAGCTGAGACTCAGCTAGGAGAGGCAGGCGGCCTCGGGCGGTCGCACGGCGCCACAGAACCAGGCGCCACCTCCCTCCCATGCTGTGCACCAACCCCTCGGCCACAGACAGTAAGGGACCCAGGGCACAGGGCTGCACACCCAAGGCCTCAGGGGCAGGTTCGGGTGTGAGTGCACACTGGAGGTGCTGTGCTGTGCTGCGAGGCTGGGGCCCACTCAGAGCGGGACAGGGCAAGAGAAGCCCCAAAGCTGGAATGCTGTAAAAACACTCGAGCCGGCTATAGCTGAGGAGTCACTGGAGTATTTCAGACACTGCGGAGAGAGCCGGACTCCTCTGCAGAGCGGGCTGCGTGTGCTCTGATGGCGCACTGCGGCCTCTGCCCGTGCCCGCGGCTCCTCCTGCCGGGGCCCTGGAGGGGGGCAGGCTGGACAGACGGCACTCCAGCCAGGTCGGAAGGCAGTGACCCCAGAACGACACCCTCTTCTGTACTCAGGATCCTGGGAGGTGGCAGGGGACAGAGCCCAGGGATCAGAGCCCCGACTCTGGGTGGGCCCCTGTGCTGTGCGTCCTGGGCAAGTCCGCTGCCCCGTCTGGGCTCAAAGCATGTTTTTGGCCCACACTGGAACCCTCGGCGTGCTCGGCCCCGCCTCCTTCCGTCACTAGGTGGTAGAGGCTGGGGACTGTGCAGGCTGCCCGAGACGTCACCCAACCACAGCACCACTGTGCAGCGCAGAGGGCGTGGCTCCCAGAGGACCGTGAGGACACCACGCCACCTCGCTGGGGCCGAAGGGACGTGGGCCTCTTTGTGAATGGCAGTGGCAGCGCACTGTCGCCAGGGCCCGTCCCACCTCTGTCATCTTGGTACCACAGGCTGGCTAAGACCCCCTCGCCAGGCTCCCCCGGCAGCCCAGCAGGGGATGGAGGCCATGCCTGGGTCACCCCAAACAAGTGGGTGTCACTTCCGTCCTTCCCTTTCTCCACCTGGGACAGGAGCACGGAGAGACAGGGTGCTCACAGGCCAACTCCCGCCATGGACGGGGACAACACAAGGACGCAGCAAAGCGAAGTGTGGCCCAGAACCTCGCCAGAAACACAAATTCCCGTCCTACTGGAGCCACTGAGGGGGGATCTGCTCCCCCAGGTCTCTGGGCGCCGGGGTGCAGCTCAGTGAGGAGGACTGCTCGACTGCTCAGCATAGTCGAGCCTGAGCAGCACTGTTTCCGCAAGAGCAGAGCGAGGAGATGGGAAGAGCCCAGGCCCAGACACGGCAGCATGGGGCCACCTTGGAGGGACAAGGGCTCTGCCACACAGCCAAACCTGTCACTCACAGACCCCACCGCAGGTAGCAGGCAGCCCCGTGGCACTCACCTTCGCAGGACACGCCGTCGGCCATGATGGCGTAGCCGGGGAAGCAGGAGCACATGGCCGAGCCCCCGATGACGCTGCACACCTGCCTGCAGGGCCCGTTGTCTGGGGGGAGCAGCACAGGATCAGAGAGAGCCGGCCACGTGGCTCCCCATCACCCCGGCTCTGACCCGTGGGGCTGAGGCAGAAACCGAGGCGTAGGGAGACGGAGAATCTGGGATGCAAGAACCACTTTCCTGGGGCCCCACCTCCCCCACCATTCAGGCCCCAACCCCTTCCTCTAGTGACACAAAAGAAGGAAGAGACAGAAAGCGGAGAGGCACAGGGGAAGAAGAGAAGGAAGGGATGGAAGGATAAATGGATGGACGGATGGATGGATGGATGGATGGATGGATGGATGGATGGATGGATGGACAGACGCACACACGCACGGATGAACAGTTGGATGGACTGACAGATGGATGGATGGATGGACTGACAGATGGAAGGATGGATGCATGGATGGATGGAAGGATGGATGCATGGAGCTCAGGGTAGAACACTTGCCCAGCAGGTCGGATGAGGCCCTGGTTCCAGCCCCAGCCCGGCACAAAAGGAGACAGGGATGGAATGAAAGGAGAACGACAAGGGATGCATTACTGAAGCTGGCCTCCACGTCAGCTCACCAAACAAGGACGCGCTATCTCAGTTTTATAGGAACGGAGGCAAAAAGCAGACAACGGGCTTTCTGGGGGCCACACACCCAGGCTCCAGGCTCCCCTCATCTCCCTCCACAGCTGTGTTCTCCTCTCCTCACCCAGCACACACGGGCACCCACCAGCCCCCCAGCAGAAGCACCCCTTTGCCAGGGCCATTTGCCAGCACCCAGCAGTCCAGGCGCAGCCAGTGGCCCTGGGCCCCATCTGGGGACACTGTCCCCACTGCTCACCTTTGCAGGTGTTAGGCTGTGGCAGGGGCAGCGGGATGGTGTTGGGGGCCGCCTGGGCTGGCCCGGGTCCCGGCGCAGACTCCCGTGTGGCCCCTGGCTGTGGGGCTGTCCTGTCTGCCGGGGCAGAGCACAGAGCAGAGGGTGGAGTTTGCCTCGGGTATGCACGGGCACCAGCCCTTCTCATACTCGGGCACCACACTGGGCACTGGCGGCTGGCTTCACTGAAGCCCTTCCAACATCACAGAGAGGAAACTGAGGCTCAGGGGGCAGATGCTCCTCACGTAAGAGCCGTCTCACAGCTCCTTGGGGGCACAGGAGGCTGGGGGGAAGGTAGGCAGGAAGGGGAGAGGAGCAGGTGGAGGAGTGTCTGGGTTAAAAACAAATCCACCCCTTCTGCTCCGGGGCTGAACACCACAGCACCGCATGGCCGCAGTGGGTCTGGGCAGAGCCTGGCGCTGCGGGGCTCCACATGGAACCTCCGCCCGGCCTCAAGAGTCTCCGTGGCTGCCTTGCACCAGTCCCAACATGAGCAGCAGCAGGTGGCAAAGCACCGTGCCATCCCCCAGCTCAGAAGGCCCCACCCTGCTCACTCCGCACCTGGGCGGCAGGTGTGGCCGTCGTCCTGCAGCGCGAAGCCGGGGAAGCAGGTGCAGCGGTAGGATCCCACCGTGTTGATGCACAGATGCTGGCACAGCTCTCCTGGCAGCAGCAGGCACTCATCCTGATCATCACCGGGCAGGCTGTTGGGCAGCTCAGCCTCTGTGCCCAGCGACAGGGCCTCCCGGCTTCCCATCTCCGGCTCTGAAACTGGGGTGGGGGGCAGAGCTCAGGACTGAGCAGGTGGCTGGGCACACAAGCCCCACACACCAGTGTAGGTCCAGCGGGTGGTGAGGATGCAGGCAAGATGGATGGATGGAGGGCTGCACGGAGGGAGGAAGGGAGGGACGGACAGATAGATGAGTAGATGGATAGATGGGTAGACAGAAGAGTGAATGAGTGCAGGGATGTATGTATGAGTGGGTGGATTAATAGACGAATGGGTAATGGATGGACAGACGGATGAATGGATGGATGGGCAGACTAAGATGGATGGATGGATGGATGGATGGGTAGATGGATGGATGGATGGATGGATGGGTGGATGGGTGGATGGATGGATGGGTGGATGGATGGATGGATGGATGGGTGGATGGGTGGATGGATGGATGGATGGATGGATGGATGGATGGATGGATGGATGGATGGGTAGATGGATGGATGGATGGATGGATGGGTAGATGGATGGATGGATGGAACGATGGATGCATGGATGGGCAAATGGGTGAACAGTACTGCAGTAGTAAGAATGAACCCATGAGAGCTGGGTCCAAGTCTTCATTACCTGAGTCCCCTGCAGGAGGCCCTGGCCAGGTCCCCAAGCAAGCTCTTGCTAAGGTGCTAAGTCAGATTCTCACTGCCCAGACTCAGTGACATAGGGAGATGTCACCTGGTCACAGAGGGTCCCCTACCCACCAAACCTGGGTCCATCGGTGGGGATCAGAACCCTGCCCCAGGCTTTCCTTGGGTACACCGCTCTGGGCAGCACCAGGCCGCTGGGATCAACCCAGCTCCCAGTGCTGTGAAGAACACAGGGAAGAGATGGGAGAGGGTGGGCTGAGCAGCTTTGGGAGGCTTTCTCTGAAACATCGCGGGGAGGGGCAGGGCCAGGACTGGAGCCAAGGCCTGCGGCCCTTCCAAGCTCTGTGCCACCTGAGACCTCAGCCCTTCCAGCAGCCACAGGCAGCCGAGCTCCAGAGAGAACAGCTGCACAGAGTCAAGGGGGAGGAACATGGTTCATATGACAGTGTTTACATTAAGTTCCTGCTTGTCAGGCCCACAGAAGGCTGAGGTAGAACTGGACCCAGGGCCCCTCATACACCAGGGCCAGGCCATACCCCCACATTTCAGACTCAGCTCACACTCAGCAGCCGTCCTGGCCCTACTGCCAACACCTCTGTAGCCCAGACTGACCAGCAGTTCCTCCCAGGAGGAAGGAACGTGTTGTCACTGGTCCTGCTGCTGCCTGCCATGTGGCCTACCTGCTCCCTGCCTGCCCATCTGCCTTCTGATCCCTGAAGCTGGATTTCCTCCCAACATGACCTCAAAACAGATTCTTCTAGATCATAAGCTGGGTCTTCTCATCAGCACACAAGCAGTCCCCTGGATGGGCGGGTGGATAGATGGGTGGGTGGAACGATGTGTGGGTGAATGGATGAGTGGATAGACAATGGATGGATGAGAGGATGAATGAAAGACTAGAAGGATGGATGGATGGACAGGTAAGAGAATGGATAAAAGACGGAAGGACGGGTATATGAATGTGGGTGGGTGGATGTGTGGGTCGATGACTGGGTAGATGGGTACATGGATGGGTTCATGGGTGGGTGAATGAAAGGGTCAGTGGGTGAATGAGTGGACAGATGGATGGGTGAGTGGGTGGAGGGATGGGCAAATGGATGGGTAATTGCATGGGTAAGTGGATGGGTGGGTGAGTGGATGGTAATTGGATGGGTGAGTAAGTCAGTGCATAGATGCATGAATGGATGAGTGGCTGAATGGGGTGGATGGGTGAAAAGATGGGTAAGTGGGTAGATGGCCGGGTGGGTGAGGGGGTGGACGGGTGAATGAATGGGTGAGTGGGTAAATGGGTGGATGGGTTGATAGATAGATGAGTGGATGGATGGGTGAACAGGTGGGTGAATGGGTAGTTGGACAGGTGGATGGATGGGTGAATGGATGGCTGGGTGAGGGGGTGGATGGGTGAACAGATAGATGTGTAGATGGGTGGATGGGTGGATGGGTGGATGGGTGGATAATGGACGGGTGGATGGATGGGTGAGTGAGTGGGTGGATGGATGCATGGGGAGGAAAAGGATGCATAAATGGACAGAGACAGGAGGGTGGGGAGTGGAAAGTGGAGGGATAATGATGGTAGCTGGTGGTCAGTGGGAGGAGTGGGTGGTACACAGAGAACCAGAACAGATCCACATTTCCATATCAACAAGGTAGAGTCCAGTCCTAGTCCACAGAACTCTGTCTAGAGCAGAGCTCAAACCTAAAGCTACAGACAATGACAGGCCCAGGATCCCCAACATAAAGCAGCAATCCAGCCTGGGTTGGGACCACCCCCAAAATTCAGTTCCCCCTCCTCCCCAAACCACCCCCAGGCTCCAGCCCAGGAAGGACATCACCCACCTCTGCGCGGCGCAGCCTCGGGCTCTGGAGGCCGGCGGACCTCGGGCACGATGAGGGGGTCCTCGCCCTCACAGCAGGAAAGCATGACATGGTTGCAGGGGTAGCCCAGGTTGGGGTTGGACTCACACGGCTGGCCCTCAGCCCGCACATGGAGCCCCAGGCCACAGCAGTCGCAGCATTGCTGGAGGAAGACTCAGTAGAGTCAGATTTACAGAGGTGAGTTTTCAGTAGTTTGCTTTGTTTTGTTCAGCGCTGGGGACTGAACTCAAGGCCTTCACACTGAGCTGCGTCCTTAGCCCTTTTTATCTTTTACTTTGAGAAAGGGTCTTGCTAATTTGTTAAACTGCCCAGGCTGGGCTTAAATTTGCAACCTTCTGCCTCAGCCTCTCAGAGTGCTAGGATTACAGGCAAGGAACTCCATGCCCAGCTCTCAGGGGAGCTTCTAAGTGGGACTCACTGTACTTCGAAATCTGTCTGTTTTGCTCTCCCCCTCTCCCTCCTGAAGCACATACATGACAGCTGGAGTTTTTACAGCCGTCAGGGCCTCAAAATATCCCTGAAGATGGAGGCTCCACACTAAGGGAGATTAAAAAGAAAACTAGAAGCCTGGGTCCCAGATCTACCCCATCTCAGACTGCATATTTGCAAGAAGAAATGAAGTTTAGTTTCTTTTAGCAATGGTGGTAGACTGGCTGCGATCAGAGGCGCAACTGTCCCCTCCTCCTTGAGTCCACTTCTTTGCAATATATTTCAGCTTCCTGTGCTATGACAGTGGCTGTGCCTGAGGACTTGCTTTGGCCAACAGCATGAGACAGAAGCAGCAGTGTGCCAGCTTGCACACAGCTACACTTGGATCCGGGTGTCCAAAGGCTGGCGTCGTGAAGGCGTGGTCCTCGGCTTGGGCTACTGGAGGGCAGTAGAACTTTTGAAAGGTGGGGCCTGGCGGGAGGTCTTAGGTCACTTATGCCATACATTCTGTCATGGTACCAGAAAGCTGACCAACATGCATATTTTCATCCCCTTTCTTAGAATCCAGCACGACTGCTAGCTGACCAGGCCCCCAAGACAGGCTGCAGGGTTAGACAGATGGCTCATGGCCACCACATAAGCAAGACCACAGAGACCAGCTGGGCAGAGCTGACCAAACTGGTGCACTGGGCCTGTCATAAGCTGGGGGGCTGTGGACACTTTGTTATGCAGCGATAGCTAGCTGATGCTCCAGGCTTATGTCTCCCAGGGTGGAACCTCCCTCCAACTGAAGCCCTGCCGTGGACACAGCACCTCCTTCCTGGCATTGCCCCTGGTCTTCCCCACGTCGCAAGAGTCAAAGATTTCTAGCCCCATTTTCTAGAGGGAGGAGCAGATGCTGAGAGCTGGGAATCAGCCTAGGGATAAACGTAAAGAAAGAAATGGGATCTCATGCTCGCTTGTCAACAAGGTCCTCTCCTAACATCAGGAAAAATGGACCCCAAAATGACAAAACCCTAAGTCAACATCTTCTCCCCAGTGCTGCCCCTTGCAGAGACCTCTGTCACCATTACCCAGGCTCGGGACGAATGGGTTTCTTCAACTCCTTCCCCTCCACCCCAGTCAGGACCAGGCCCTTTCTCCAAGGTCTCCTGAAACAATCCCCAGCCGTCTGCTCTTGCCTCTGCTGCAGAGACAGCTCACTGTTCACCCCAACTCTATTTTCCCCCTTACTGGTTTTTAGTGGGCACCGGACCTCCCCAGAATAAAGACTACATTTCCCAGCCTCCCTTGCGGTTGGACGGCTACTTGACTAAGTCCTAGTCAATGAGATCTAAGCAGAGGCATTTTCTGCTCTTAAAAGTGGGCTCTTCTATCTGGGTGCCATAGCCCTTGTCTGCAATCCCAGTACTCTGGAAGGATCACAAGTTTGAGACCAGCCTGGGCAATTTAGTGAGACCCTGTCTCAAAATTTCAAAAAGGCCTGAGGATTTAGTGTAGTGTGAAGGTCCTGGGCTCAACTCCTAAACACTTGAAAATAGGAAAGGAATTCTGACGTATGTGATAACCAAGTGAATCTTGAGGACATTATGCTAAGTACAACAGCCAGTCACAAAAGGACAACACTGGGTGACTGCACTTCTTGAGGTCCCTAGAGTGGCCCAACCCATGGAGAGAGAAGCGGGGTGTGGGTACCAGGGGCTGGGGGTGGGAGTTAGTGCTGAATGGGGCAGTTTCAGTTTGAGAAGATGGGCAGACAAGGCCTAACATGCACGGTGTGCCGGCTGCACAACGATGCATGTGCTTGGCGCCCCGGGATGGCACACTTCAACGTGCTGGCGTTGATTTTATGTCGCATGCATCTGACCACACCAAAAAGGAGCTGAGGAGACCACAGTCCCTTCCAGCCCTCTCCTGCCTCTGGTGAAGGCTGCACAGCCATCCTGGACCATGAGGCAGAGCACCAAGGCGGCAGGAACTTCTCCCCGTCTCATCCCTGCCCTCCTCCAGTCCCCATGTGAGAGAGGAAACCAGGGTTCTGGCAGGCTCCCTGCACCTGAAACCAAACTGACGCCCCCGAGGCCAGCGTGAGCTCCAGCACAAGCCACTTTCGTCCACAAAGTCCCCCTCTGGGCCCAAGACCTCAGTGTAGCAGGACCCCCAAAGCCTGTCTCCCCACCCCCACGGTGGCACGCCCCACTCCCTACCTCTGCAACTCATGCTGCTACCTCTGCCCTGTCCCGACTCCCCTGTCCATGCAGGAGGAAGTGCCTTAAAGACAGGTCCCACACTGCCAGGGAGGATCCAGATTACAGCCCTAAAACTCTCCTTGGCACCCACCTCCCACCCTCAGGCCAAGCCACAGTCCTGCCAGTGATGGACGAGACCTGCCATGTCACTTGCACGACCTCAGCTCCTGCAGCTCCCCACGTTGGTCCCACCCCAGCCGTGCAGGCTCCCTGTCACTCCTGGGTCATGCTAAATGTGCTGACCTCAGGACCTTTGCTCATGCTGTATCATCTTTCTGCTTGGAAAGCACCCCAGACGTTCTCCACTATTCGCTCCCACCTCCTCCAGGCTTTCACACAAGGGTCCCCTTCTTGGTGAGCCCATGGCCAACTATCCTGTCACTGCCTACGCACTCCTCTCTCTAGCTCTTCCTCTGTGGCACTGTCGCCTACGGCACTATCACCTCCTGACACAACACACGACAGTGTTCCTCCCTTGCCATCCTGATGGAGATGCTCACGGAGCAGGGCCTGTCACCAGGTATTCACTGCTGCGTCCCCAGTGCCCAGAAAAGTGCCCCACACACCCTGGGCCAACAGGCATCTGACAGTGTCTTCTGTGCGGGTGCTGGGACCCTCTCACTCTGCAGCACGGCCATGGCCACTTACCTTGTATAGGGACACACTGCAGGTGTCATTGTCCTCAGCCCCACAGGCCTCGCCCTCCTTGGCTCCCAGCACGCCGGCCACACAGCTCTTCTCCTTCAGGTAGGACACGCAGCATTGCCTCTGGGCTGTCCTGCAAAGGTGCGCATCAGCCCCGCTGGAGGACGACAGCCCCCACACTACAGAGGACAGGCAGAGTATGCTGCCCAAGACGCGGGCACAGTGGACCAGCGTGGCTGGCAGGGCACGTGCCAACCCGCCACTTGGTGTGGGTTTGTTTCTTGGCTTAAGCAAGAAGACTCAGGCCTGGGTCCCTTAGGACTCAGAGCCATGCGACTCTGAGTGCCGAGGGGAGAAGGCACCGTTCACTGCCCACTGCCGGGACAGACTGGCACAGGCAGAGCCAGCCCCAGAAAGGCCATCAGGCAGGGCTGTCCTGGGACAGAGGCAGCCGACGAGCCAGGCCAGGGTTGCAGGAATCACGGGGCGCGGGATTCAGCGCCACCTGAGGTGGGCATATCCCGGGGATGATTGCTCAGGGAAGGAAGTGCTGAGCTCCCCGTCATAAGCGGGATACAAGTGTACACTCAGGCTACGAAGCCCAAATCTAGGGGTCTGAATGCTGAATGCTCTTACTCCTCAGGACCCCGAGTCGGTGGGAGCGGGTAAGGGACAGGAAAGCGAGTTAGAATTTAAATTTCCCCGAAGAAGGCTGCACAGGCTGGGCCCTGGAAAACGCACTCTGAATCTGCCCAGGCGCTCTGGGTGAATCACACAGCCTCCTGGAATTGCAAGCTCCTTGACTGGAGAAATGAGCAGGTTGGAAAAGGTGGCGCTGCTGGAGAAAGGCGGGGAGAGGGGCTGCCCCAAATGTGCCCTCGGGCGTCTCACCTGCACACGTCGCCCTGGGCGCCGCTCTCGGGCATCTCTGTGCATTCGTCGTTGTCGATGGCCCACTGCTGCCCCGCCGCGCAGCACGACTCGATCAGGTCCTTGGTGGAGCCTGCGGGCACAGCAGGCGCAGAGGAGGCCTCGGCCCAGGACTCCAGGGCTGAGGCCAGATCCCGACCCTCACTGACGGCGGGACCCCGCCCCCGCTGCTGTGCACCCGGCTGCGACAGCCAGGGAGCGGCATGGCCCACCGCAGACTCAAGGGGGAACAGGGCCGAGGCCCCTCCAGCTCCCACCCCCACTCCTGAGACCCTGGCTTTGCTTCAAGGAACCCAATCTGAGTCGCCAAGGCAGAGCAGGAGGTAAGAAAACAGCAGCGATAGCCAGGCAGGGTGGTGTACACCTGTAAAGTCAGCTACTTAGGAGGCTGAGGCAGGAGGATCACGAGTTTGAGGCCAAGGTGGGGAGAGGGGCTCCCCCGAGTCAGTGGGAGACTTTGCTGCTAAAGCCCCTCCTTTCAGCAAGACTTTGTCTCAAAATAAAAAACAAAAAGGGGCTGGGGATGTAGCCCAGTGCAATGGCCTTGGGCCCAATACCCAATACAAATGCATGAACAGAAGAGGGAGGGACACAGAGAGAAGAAGAGGGAGAGGGAGAGAGGGAAGGAGGAGCTTTAGCAGCAAAGGACCCGCCAACTCAGCAAGGAAATTTATTGGAAGAAATGGGAGAAACCAGACGGGAGAGAACGTCTTAAAACTCAGATTGCTGGTGGCAGAGTGCTTGCCTAGCATGTGCAAGGCCTAGACAACCCAAGGAATGACAATTTAAAAGGTATTAAAATTAATGCTAATGAACAATTGTTATTCTAACATGATGGCCAAAAATAAAACCAGCATGCTCAAATTAGTGGCTTCCTTGTATCTCAGAAACAATGACATAGGAAAATCCTATTTGCAAAATACACAAACCTAGAAATAAATCAACGGTAAAGATGTTTGACGTACGTGAAAAAAAAACATTCGATGGTCTAATGGGTATAACAGTAGGCTTTATTCTAAGTACACACCATGTATCTGCCCCAGAAACTCAGTACCTGCGCCTGCTTGGCAAGCACGAGCTCCAGAGTTTGATTCCCAGTACCAAAAAAACCAACAAAGAATCTCAGTACCTTAAAGATGTCAATTCTCCTAGACTTAATCTTCAGCCTCAAAGCAGTTCTAATCACAGTCCCAGCATAATTTCTTACAAAACTTGTTGAGATGATTCTGACATCCATGCAAAAAGTGAAGAAATGCCTAAGAATTGTCTTAGTTACTTTTTTCTCACTGCTGGGACAAAATATCTGACGCCCAAAATTAAGGAAGGAAAGGTTTATTTCGCTTACAGTTTGTGGAGGTTTCAATCCGTACTTGGCAGATTATAAGGCAGAGTGGCACGTGGCAGAGGGCTGCATCTCAGGGCGGCAGCACACAGCTAAGCAACAACCACACACCAGGGCGGAATGGGGGAGGAATGCCCCAAGCACTGTTTTCCTGTCCCTTACATATGCAAACTATCCACTCCCGAGCAGGTGCAGCTCTCACACCCATATTCAAACTGTAATAGCCTGCCCCTCAAGCCTGGCCGCTTGAGGCTTTGGGGGGACACACAGATTCAAACCATAACAAGAATATTCAAGAAAGCTTCCAAAAAGAAGAGAGAGAGAGAGAGAGAGAGAGAGAGAGAGAGAGAGAGGTGGTGGGGGAGCAGGTCTTTCTCTACTATTATAAAAAATGCACTTTAAAGTTCTAAGCATTGAAAAAAAAGGTAAGGAGATCGAGGGACCCGAACAGGCTCCGAGACAGAACTAGGTGACATGGTTTCTGAGGTACGATGAAGGTGTTCGCCAAGCACAGCAGGGCCAGTGTGATGGTGTGGAGTTTGACTGCGCCCCGAAGGCCATGTGTTGAGGCCAGGGGCATCCTGGGAAGCTGTGGGACCTCTACCTGCTGGGTCCTGGTGGCAGGAAGTGAGGTCATTGGGGGCGTGGCCTTGAAGGGGCTGGGGGGCCCACCTTGGGTATTTGCTGAGTTGCTGAGACCTTAGAAGCTGCAGTATCAGGAGGCAGAACCAATGCTCACCATCTGAACCTAAGGTGGCACAGACACCCTCAACCTGGCACACGGCCTGGATGCCTGGCACAGCCCTACCTCCAGCTGCTGCTGCCAGACTAGGGATTTGAGTCTCTGTAGCCACTGAGAGCCATGTCGCCACTCAACGCTGACTCTGCCTGTCACACTCTGGCTTGAATACTTCCAGCCGTGGGGCGCTCACCCCCAGACACGGTCTGCTCCTGGTCTTGGAACTCCCAGTCACTGTGTTCTCTCTCATAGGCTCTCTCTGCTTCTCACGCCTCCCTCGGGATCTGCCAGGGCTGCCTTAAAGAGATCAGGGTGGTAACAGGTCCTGGCATCCTGGCCAGATGACACGTGGTGGACGTCCACGCCAGGTGACAGCACCGCTAAGATGGACTGGGTATTCACAACGGGCTGGACACAGGCCCAAGGTTTCTGAGTCTGTTGTGACTCTGGTTTTACAGAAGAAGGGAGGAATTGCAAGGCCCAGCCTCAGTGTCCCACTTTCCCTCTGATCCAGGCCTCAGCACCGCCACACCTGTGGCACAGGCACCTTGATGTAGCCCCACCTGAAGGTCCCCTCCGTGCATCTCACCATCAGCAGCCCTTGAGGCGGCTCTGCTATTGTGTGCACTGAACGGAGAGCTCTTCCGGCCCCACCCCTGCTGGGAAGCAGGGCTTCAGCCCCCACTGGCAGACTTCCTGCCATTCTCTCCTGGTCTTTCCCACAGGCCTCCCTCATTTCCAAACAAAGGGCCCTGGGTTAAGACTCCCGGCCGGGAAGGCCACCCACGAGGAGTAAGAGTGGGGACTGGTACTGAGGCCGCCTTGGAACTGCCAGCTACATCCAACACGTGGGAGACCGGGTCCCCAAAGCCCAACCCATGAGGCCCCCACGGCCCCACAGCCTTCCAGGGCAGGGCACTGCCCCCCGACGGTTCCTGCGCTCCCCAGGCTCCCCTGCCAGCAAAGAGCTCAGCACCCTCAGGTCCCTCCTAGGCCAGTTCTCCAACCCGTCCCCCAAGGGATGTTCACCTCCAAAGAACATCCCAGGGCACCACCTCTCCCCTGCTCGGCCCCCACCGCCTGACCCTCTGCTCTGCTCCTGCCCTCCCGCCACCTCTTGTACGTGCTGGAATGACCCTCCAAGTCCCTGCATGCTGACAAGCCTCACGTGGTGCGACCCCACAACCACACACCTCGTCTCTGTTCTCTGGCCTCTCTCTCAGTCTCACCATTCCCTCCTTAAACTTTTCATGCCGTTCCTACCCCAGGGCCTTTGCATGTGCCATATCATGGCACCCCATCTGCCACCGTCTCCCAGGCAGCTCCTCTTTTGGGGAGTCTCATCTTCTCAGAGCGAGGGTCCCCGACCTCTGTCTCTGAACTGACATCCACCCCAATCTCACCACACTACGCCACTGAGTCTCCTCTGTCACGCCCTGGCCGTGAGCACCCTTCCTCACCGAGAGCTCCACAATGCCACTGGAAAGCCAGTAGAGGACACAGTGTGACAATGACAGGTTCCGTGTGCCGCCGTCACCCCTGCACCCATGGGCCAGCAGCCAACCACTCACCGCCACCCCGGAGTGCGAGAGCTGCCTCCCCGGCTTCCTATTTTTCCCTCTACAACGTCCCTACCAGAGGACACACCTGTTCCAACCACCAGCCCGGGCAGGGTCTCGGGCACCAAGAGTCAGCCGCGTCACCTCAGGGTCCCTCGAGGGTAGCACAGGGCGGCACACGATGGGCAGTGTCAGCAAGTCCCGGTGGTGGCACGCACAGCGCCTCCTGCCATCAGCTCATCTCACCCACAGTCCGCGTGACCAGGTCCCCGCCCACGTATGAGGAGGGGGAGGCCAGGCCACCTCAGGAAAGTGACCAGAAGACCCAGGCCTGCGCCTGTCCACCCCATCGGCTGCCTGTAGGTGGCAGTTTCTACCCGTAAGTCGCCGTCACCTCTGAGCACAGGGGTCCAGCGTCCTGCTGCAGGACATGGGTGGCCACCTGTCGCCTGAGCCTCTGCTTCCTCGCCTGTGAAATGGCCAAATAACCTCTGAAGGATTCGGGGTGTGGCAAACCGGAGGGGTTCGACAAATGTGAGCCCGTCCCCTAGCACACGAGTGAATCCACCAGCAACGGACGACAGGACAACTGTCCCGGGAGCAGCAGGAGCCTAGGGGCCTCTGCCTCGCCTTTTGGCCTCCCCTAGGTCACCTGGACCCCTCCAGTGGGAGAGGGCGAGGGTGGAGTCCAGGGGACCTCACGCTCCCCTCCCTGAGGCACAGAGGGAGACCTGGTCGCCTACAGGCAGCGATGTCACCTGCAGGTACAGGACGACTGTGCCTCCTGGGCTCCAGGCCCTCACGACGAGGGTGACACACCCAAGTCACACAGGCACGCACTGGAGGAAGCAGCAAGTCCTGGGGACGCTGGGCACTGCCTGTCACGTGAAGTTGAAAACAAGAGACGAGATTCTCTAGGCGGCAATATGCCCAGAAAACTAGCCGAACACTGAAGACCAAGACTGTCCTCGGAAAGGAAGCCAGCTCAGGGAGAGCAGCCAGGCACGCAGGGACAGATCCTACAGGACTCGCCTCGCAGGAGGTCCCCGGAGAGGCCACGTCCAGAGGGCCCAGGAAAGTGGGTGCCAGGGGCTGGGGGAGGGTGGGGGCCCGTGTGGATGGGGACAGCTCCGGTGTGTGGAGCTGGCTGGTGGTGACGGCTTCACAACACTAATGCCGCAGAGCTGCTCGCCCAGTCACTGGGAATGCCATGCTGTGGATTTAAAAAACTGCACCTCAGTGTAGTAAGAAACCTGTGGTCCAGCCCTTCGCTCTCCCACGCTGCTGGGAGACAACGCTGCCCTGGCACAAACAGGAGGCCCCACGCTTGCTGCCCCTCTGCCAGCAGAGGTTCCAGAGACAGCCTCCGTGCCGGAGCAAAGAACTGACGTGCGAGCCATCCGATCTCACGCAGGTGTTGCGAGGACTTCGCT